CCAACATGCTGTCTGGATGATGGCCCAGCCAACTCCTGCAGGGTAGTACACAAGCAGAACAAACCACCCACCCAAGATCTTTTTCCAGATTTCCTCTACTGTCTTACACAAGGTTTTATTGTACATGCACCAGGTTGCTGGAATACAGATTTAACGACAAAACGCTATTAGCTCTCCTTGCCTAGGCAGAACTCTGACTAACTTGAATAATCAATCTGCAGCATTTATTTTGGAAGCCCTGCAAGGTATTTATGGTGAGAGGAAAGAAGCTAACGCGATGCACAAAGCACAGTGGTTTATCTCTCTTGCCTGCTACTACTGTAGCCAGTCGCCTGAAAGAACTCAGGCCACCAGAGGAATAATTAACACCAGGCTGAGCTGATGCCCTTTTCACCCTTAAAAGGAGCTTCTCAAATGCTCAGAAACTGGACTGGCCAGTTTCTGCACATACTTCATAGATTACTAATGCCAAAAAACCTCTGTTGGGTTTCAGAATGAATCCAAATTACTAAAACAAGGAAGAATATTATCTAAGTATGGTATCTGCAGCAGGATCGATTAAACTGCATTACAGCAACATCAGTACGGTTCTCCTGCAATGTCCAATGCGATGTTTTTCTACGTGTGCATTCTGCTTTCATTTTCTTAACTGAGTTACTGACAGTTCTGATCAGAACCTGGAAAATCTGCTAGGTTTTGTTATTAAAGCCTACAGAAAGTTTCCATGAGGATCTTCAGCAGGGAGGCATACTTTACTGTTCTGCCTCCATACCCAGTTTTTCCTTTTTTAACCACCTTTGAGCTGAAATCGCTTTCTCTACAGAGATTGAAACTGCAAATAAATGAGCATCACTGACCTACATAGGACAGGCTAATAAAATGCAAGGAAACAATGTTCAGCTACATGTGGGATACAGATGAAAATGGAAAACACTAAACTGAAATGGAATTTCTTTTTTCAAATTCTTCACAAATCTCTGCTCCCAACTGAATTCTTAATGGTTTCTTAACCCAAAGATCCTCCCACTCCAGCACTGCTCCAGCACTGCAGACCGAAAAGTGTTTGGAAGAACTCCAAAACTCGTACCAGTTGCTTCAATTAAAAAAGCAAATACAACCACAAAAATATTTCCTCTTTGCTGAGTTGAAAGCACAGGGTTAAAGTAGCCCAGGTAAGTATTCAAATGCTGAAAGATCTCACTTTAGGAAATAATTTACACAAGCTGTTTACCAAGACAGGGCTCTGGACAGGAAAGCACAAAGCTACACTAGGCTTGCCAGAGCAGTGAAAATGCAAATTTGAAATCCTTTAATACAGATCATGTCTAACAAAGGGACTAACATTTCCGCTCAGCGGAATTTTTGTTATTGGCCCCTTTGAGACTGCAATATTTCAGCAGAAGATAGGCCCAAGTCAAAAAGAGAAAAGCTTTTCTGCAAGTATGTCTGACTTTGGCTCTTCTAACACCATGTGTCAAAGTTGTTTACACTTTTCCATAATATCAAAGTACACTCAACTGAAGACCATATGATGACTTAGAGCAACCGTAAAAATAGCTACCATGCTGAGACTACTCACCGCCTTCATGAGAACTCAACTCTCCAACCTTTTCTACCAAGCTTATCTTATATCTTTGCTTCCTAGGTTAACCACAGCCCTACGGACTGGCTTCTCTCTACATTTCAGAGACTGGTTAAGTCTTTTTCATCCAATTAAACAAGCTATGCTATACAGTAACATCTGTCTTTCTACCTAGTGACCCTCTGCTGATATGGAAAAGCTGCATTTGTCTTCAGCCATTATACCCAACTATGAATTTCATTAGTGTCTTACTGTAACTCCAAACTTTCTGATCCAGTATTTTCTAAACAGCACATCATTTCATAATACTTTGAGACGGCCTTCATTCCTGTTCGCAATCCTGTTTGCACAGCACAGTTCAGGAACCAAATTAATCATGACAATATATCACACAATCCCCACAAAGAACTACAATAAACTTGCCACTGGATGTAAATTTCCTATATTGGTACTGTGAACAAGCCAATAGCCTACTGCAGGATAAAATCATTCACCGATTTTAAGAACATGTTGGAAAAGTAAAAATTTGACCTTAAGAGCTCCATACATGCCAAACAAGTCCATTAAAGGTCCCACGACAGTCATCAAGACCACCCCTCAAAGACATTTGTATTAAGCTGTATCACTGGCAGTAGATTAAGACTATTCCAGTACTACTTCAAATTAACATCGATAAAGCAACTTGTCCCATCTGCATTTCCCAGACACAAAGCACAGCCTTCTATTTGGCTGTAATACCCCTACTTCAACATTTAATACCTCTAGCTCCTTTACCAAGTTTTAAACTAGGCCTGCCCCTCCTCTGCCCATTTAAAACCTAAAAAAACCCAAGATGAGCATCCAGATAGGGGAATCAGGCAGCATTTTTGCTAGTAAAAAGGAGAAATAGTGAAAATGCATAGAAGAGTATTTGAGGACATGTGCTTTGGTTTTGTAGGCAGCTTTAAATCTAACTTTCTACAAAGCAGCAACAAATGTGGATTACGTCGTCTACTTCACAGACAACAGATTTTTTCCAAAGCTACACAAACTAGTAGACTAAAGGTGAAAGGATTGACTAAGGATAAGTAGCAGGCAGTCAGTTTTCAGAGTGGAGGAGGTTACCGTAAATTACTATAATACCTGTTACATTCAACACTGATAAAGTTCTTTAGGTTAGCAAGGCAACGATGACAACATTATAAAGTTACTCAAGAAGTCAAAAGCAAGTCTGACAAAGCCGAGAGGTGTCTTACAATACTGACATTTCACCTACTCTTTCACTGGCCATTTGTTATCCCTGAATCCACTGCGCTAACCAGAGCGGAAAACCCGGAATAAGGACATGCAGTGATGCACACCAACCTAGTTATCACTGGTGATGAAAGATACTCAAGTCATTGTCATCACTGCATCTTAGAAAGGATCAGGAACAAATAGAAAATATTCTGCTGTTATGAGCCACACTATGTCCACTACATGACCATTAAGAGTGGCAACAAGCAGCCCATCTGAAAAAGGATATTTGTAAACCAGAAACCATGATAAAGGGCAATGAGGATAAAAAAAGATCTGAAACAGCTAGGATTCCATAGAAGTACAAAAAGCATAGCTGGGAACACAATATTCAAGGCAAGTTGTAGGTTAATGCCATACCCAAATCTTAAATTTTACAGCAGACCAGAGATCTCAAAATCATGCACTTGTTAGAACTGGACAAAGAAGAGTCATATTGACATAGATTTGATACTAGATTTGAGATAGAGACAGATTACCAGTGTCCGCATTGCTCATCTCCTATTACCATTTATTAAGTGCAAGTCGTTAATAATCCTTTAATCATTTCTGATTTTCATTGCTGCAAGCAGGGTCGTCCTCGAGTACTCTTAAGAACTGCAGAGTTGCACAACACATACACAGAAGGCAAAATTTTCACTTAGTTCAAGTGCTTTACACCTTTGAATATTTTAAGACATCTGAAGGGTACCAGTGTTTTTAATATAAAACCATACAATTGCTGCACACAAAGCTGTTCAAAATACCCATCTAGGTATAATGTATTGCATTAATCTTTAACTAGCCCTATCAAAATTAGACCAATAAGAATTCATTAAAAAACTAGCCAAACCAGAACAACTGTACTTCAAGGAAAATCAAAAAAATCAAGTACACAAGGTCAGTGTAAACAAGTTCTTTAATAATACCACTGTAGATGAATTTAGAAATCCAAGTCTTAGGTGGGTTTCAAATAAATAATCATTTTGACTAAGTGTTTACATACAAAGGGAGCTCTCAAAGCAGCAGTGCACAGTTTATAACTCCTCCCTGCTAACACATCCCCAAGAAGAGAATGTACAGTAGGTAGTGCACACTGGAGAACACAATCCTAACACATGGCACACACTTGCCATCTTCAATGAAATCACTAAATATGATGTCGAAAAGGGGGAAGACGCAAATGAAGGCATGCACTGTCCTTTAAAGCACCGCTATTTTCCCTTAGCCTTTTTACCAGCACAATACAAATAAGAAGCCTGGAAATACAAGTCATCTTTCTCCTTCTAAAATCCACTCTGGACTCCAAGATTAACACAGCAGTGCCCTCATACAGAAAATGTATTCCTCAAACTGACATCACAGCATAACGTATCATCCCCCTCCCAATTGGTCTCTACTCAGGGAGATCTGCTCTAACTTTTAAATTCCTCTCCATTAACTGCAGAGGTAATCCAGAAGGCTTAAAAACAGGTAAGAGGAGTTGTTTCTTATAGATCCTGGCCCAGCATACTGAAAAGAACCAAGACATAACAGGTCTCAATAAGGTGTATGGTTACCTAGCAAAGTACCTGGTGTCCTACATCATTCAAAACCTTCCAAAAGTAAAAATTTTTCTTCAATGTCAAGATTTGCCTTTCTTAAACAACCCCAATTATTCTGCCGTAAGAAGACATCCGATGTGAAATTTCTCACATCAAAACAAGAAGATTTAACAATCCAGAAAGACTAACAAGAAAAAAGATCAATAATAAATATGACACAAATATACTTGCAAAAGAGTTACTGTAAATTGTTTACTTCTTTAAGTTACTGTTTCATCAAAATATTTTCTCTCTGCAGATATGGGTAGGGCAGTCTTCCACTCTTTGTACTTTAGTCCAACATGCAATTGATCTGTGATAAGCACTGCAGTACTCACCATAGAAGCACATAACCTACTAGCATAAATTCTTCAACGCAGTTAACCTGCTTCATTACTCTTTTTTTCTCCTCCATTTCTAATATACCTGAAAAACGTTCTGCGTCTCTCTGACTAAAAAACCTACTACGTAATTCTGCTGTGTACCTACTGAATAAATATTATACGAGTTACAGGATTGTTTCAGTTGCTAGCTTAGCTTTGGCAAAACACGAATTGGGCTAACATACACTGTATACTTCACACATTTGAGCAGGGGATGCTGCAACGTTTAACAGATACAAAATAAAACAAATCTTAGATTTCTAAAACTGTCAGTACACAGGATTCCCAAGTTGTTCTGAATACAGGAGCAGGGTAATCAATTTTCAAGGAAAGCCACATAGTCAGTCAATCTGGCCAACTGCTGTTCATTTGGAATTGGTGGAACCGGAGCAGGTTCTACAAAAATAAAACAAATGCATCATTAATGTAATTAAGTAAATCCATCCGCAATACCATCCATCACAACAGTAAGGAAAAAATTAAATGCATCAGACTGTTAAACAGTCTTATGGGGGTACATCTTAACTGTATCTCCTACCCATGCACCTTCAGCTGATACTACTTTCCTGTTATCTGCAACATTTAGTAGTCCAAGAGTTCCTAACAGCAAAGATAGCTGTAACAAGTTCCAGTCGTCAGTCTCCAGAATTTTTTTTTTGCATAAACTGGAGGCTGAATAATAAAGACTGACAATACTTCCACTTGACAAAAAAAAAGCTCCTGGAGTTCTTCAGTTGCTCCTTTCCTTACAAGTTGCCATACCGAAGACACCAAATAAATCTACTGGGTTAGCTGACTAACAAAACACAGCACAGTACTGCACAGGTTGCATGAGAACACAGTGCACATGCAGATCCTTATATAAATGCCAGCTAACCTGAAATTCTAGTTTAACAATAGGTTGGAAGACAAGTGACAGAAGCCAGGGAGATAAGTTAGGAATTAAAAATCAGAAATAAAAAATAGCAGGAAAATTTGCATTTATTCCTCCTGAAGAGTTAATAGACTAGCATTCAGGATATAGTTAAAGCAGACATACTGCTGAGGGCTGCAAATATGTGATAGAGGGGGCTGACATTCAAAAGAATGTTTTCAAAAAGCAAGACCCCAGCTCTTACAACTGGCTTGGAATTAAACCTGTAAATTTAACACATTTTTGGCAACTGTCAGACACAGCAAGCCACCAATTCAGATCTGCTGTCGCTGTCCTGTGACCAATAGCGACAACAGTGTTTTGAGAATCAGCGTGACATGACATATTACACCTCAATCTATAGGTGAGCTCTGACAATAATCAGTAGATTGCTTTCTTCTACAGGGAAAACTTCAGAAGTCTCACATCACACAAAAGCAATGAGACCTACTCAGAGTTGCTTTGTAAAGCAACTGCCTCTAAGTCAGAAGTTTTAGTCAAAATAGTTTTGTTTTACAGAGGCTGTCTACCCCTGCTTTGGAATCTGCTCCCTGCTTCAGCTATGGAAGTGGGAATCTCAGGCACTCCTTAAAATGTGAGGGAAATAAGACAGAGGGAGAAACATGTTCACATAGCACCTGATTGGGGTGGGTGATTTTGAGGGGAGAATGACAACATTCACTTCTCTAGGACCCAATTCCCATTGTGGTGCTGGTGAAATTGTGCTTATATTAATCATGCAAGTTTAGATATATGCAAATAGATTATATATAAATGGAAAGTACCTGATGAAGGAATAAATCTGTTAAAGGAAGCTTCCAACACACCTGAAGAAAAACACACAGAAGTTAGCCCAGTGGACTAATTTTAAACAGTTCTATACAGCAAGCCAAAACTGGCTGAAAAGGTAATTAAAGTTAAACCTGCTCATTTATCACATTTTACATCATAGCCAAAAAGCAGAATAGCCAAAGCTTAGCTGGTTAGACATGCAGCTTCAAAATAATTAATCTCCTGCCTCTTTGTTTTGCCTCAATAATAGTTCTTGCACTCACTTTTCCAAAAGAACCACATGCAACTAGTTCTCAGTACTTGTAAGCCCTGAAGATTTTGCAACTAGTTCATAAGAAAACTGATCCATCTACAAAAGCTCAGGGCTCTGGTTGGTTATGTGCCCTAAGGGATAAATTTCAACACCTTGTCTGGCACATGTTTATTATAATGTTCTGGGCTCTGAACATCTAAAAATTCTGCCCATATAAACAGTATATTTTCTTAGCCTAATAGATGTTGCCCTTTTAGATACACTGTAATTTGGCTCCTTCTTCCAGAGCTGCACTGTGTAGTTTAAGAGCAGTCATTTCATCCTGCCTCCATAGCTTAACGTTTATTTTTGCCTCAGTCAGCCATAGATACAGCTTTAGCAAAAAAAAGCCAAGTATTTCTGTAGGTTGAGCTTTGCAGGAACAGATATTCTGTTATCAACACCGTGACAGTGAAGAAAAGATCCAGTAGAATAAATTTTAGAAAACAAAGGAAATTATATCAACAACTGGAGCTCCTCAGAACACAAAGATCCACTACATGCCTGCCCAAAGAAGTTCTACTTCTGAAAAAATTCTCAGGTTCAAAATAGTATATTTTTTACTCATCTTTATTACATTAAGACATGTCATTTGAGGTCATTCAACTTATGTTCCACTGAGTCAGAGCCAGCAGCAGAGGAGGAGCAGGAGAAATCACAGCATATCCTGTCTGCTTTTGTTTAAAAACGTTGATTTGAGGATACAGCTTAACCCAAACTACTTGTAACCCCAAACCAAACCCACTACTTTGTACTTCCTACATTTTAGAAACATTCCATGTTTGTAGGTGGCATAAGCCCGCAGAAAAATATCTAAAAGAATATTGTGCTAAATTTTAATTAAAAACTAACACCTAATTACTAGAAAAATGCTAAACTCAACATCAAGTGAAATAACAGCTCCACCTACCTGGCTTTTTAGGCATTACCATACGAGTTGAAAAGTCTGCTTGCCAGCCCTGTTCTAATACACCTGAAAAGGCATTTTTACATTTGTAAGAACAAATATCTCGTACGATTGCTAGAAATGTGCATTTTTATTTTGCATTAAGAGAGCAGAAAAGTATCTCAGCTCACTGCCTCGATGCCATAACTCCAAGACATATTTCTTGCAAAAATGTCTATACTTAGACATGCAATTCAACAAATATCATCATGAAAGTAATAGCACATGAACTAGTTTAATCCACTACCTTCACTCCTCCCTCATCGCTGATTTGCTTTAACATTTCCACTTATAGAAGGGGAGAATACTCAGTGGTAACTAGTGGCAAATAATAAGAAAAAAATCAAACTTTTATCCAGAACCAAGACAGTTTTCTCTATTCACTGTCCCATTGCTTCTCTTTATAAGAGTCTCAGATTTTGTATACGTGTTTCTATTTAGCATCACTTACAGCTCTCTGATCTCAACCGTCTGTAGAAAAATTATTCAGTGAATAAACACAAAGTACCTTTCACAGCTTCTTCTACAGGAAGTCCGACAAAGGCTGCAAAATCATCTGCAACTATTGAGGTATATGCCTGCGAAACCAGTCCAAAGGCTCGTCTCCTAGTTGCATCTAAGAAGAGATAAGCACTGTAAGCAGACAGTAGACTAACCTCCATAACTAGGAAATCCAAGAAAATTCTTCCAATTCCAAGACATTTGGAAAACCACTACCACCCTTAAAGCTAGCACTTTAGAAGTTCCCCCTCCCTTCCCACAACTCACTGAAGTACCAGTCAGAGGCAACAGCTTGCTCTATGCCAGTACAAAACCCCTCAGAGACCGCATTTAACTTCCAAATAGTTTGCAGCATCTTGGGTACTACCACCAGTATGCAAACCAATTTAGGAAACTCTGATTCTGATGGCATTCTCCATTTGCAATACACTTGTGTCAAATAGTTCTGAATCAGGAAAAAAATGAAAAAAACTAGTTAAAATATTCATGCCTTTTTCATCACATCTGCTTTGATACCAAGGCATCTAAGTACCAGTCGTTTCTAAAGGTACAGAGAATTTGTTACTGCAAAATACCTTGGCAGACTTTTTAGCAGTCTGTACTGCCCTCTAGTAGCAAGACTTTGCACATTACTGCTAAACAGTCTAAAACGTTTGTCTAAAGCCACATTTAAAAGAAAAACCTTAAGTGTCACAAGGTTCTGAAATGCCAAGTTCCCCAGATTACTAGTTAAAAGTCTGATAAAACGGGATAACTAATGGTCTATTTTGCTATTACAGAACAAAACATATGGTGTATGCAATTCCAATATGAAATATACAATCACATACACAATCCTAATAAAAACAATTTAGTTTGTTTCTAGAAGTTTTTGTAACAAGCTTTTTATTTACACCTGGTACCTAAAATCCTTTAAGTAAAACTTACAAAAAACTTGGCAACAATCTTCCTGACCACCTCTGATTTTTCATAGTAAGTCATCATTTGTCTACCTGTCTATTGTGTTGAGCACCCAAGTAATTTAAGGAAACATAATTCCATGCTACCTACAGAAGTTCAATTTGTACCTCTAAGCGCTTCCATGATGGGTTGAATAGTCTCGGACCACTGATGTGCACTGATTGTTGTATAGATTCCTGGAAAGTCTCTCTGCCAGATTCTTTGTCCTACTGACCAAACGGCACCAAGTTCAGCATTTGCCTGTTGTGACAAAAAAACCCCAGTTAATCCAGAACAGTGTATTCTCTACAGTGACCAGACTGCACAAATCTATTTCCACTCCCTTCCTTATTGAAAGAATACATCACAACACCTGTAAAGAACAGACAAGCATCAGGAAATCTTGTTCTAGCAGGTATCACTGCTGCAAGCTCCCTGATGCATCCTCTGCCAAGACTTTATCGCCCACATGAAGTCTGCTCACATGTCAGTTATACCAATCCAAGTTGACACACCAGCTAAAACAATCACAGAATAATCTGCACTCAGACTGACTGGAGTTGCAAAAAAAAAAGCAGGCACAGCTTATTTTCTGCTTAGAGAGATGCTTGCCTCTTCAGTCAAGGCTTTATAAACCGCAGAGGCTGTTTGCACAGTGAAGGCAATTTTCAACTTGAAAGTCTTGCAACCTTCACAACAGGTCACACTTAATACAATGCCATACTCACTACAACTGCTCTCCTACTACTGGTTTTAAGGGCTACTTTTACTGTGCTACACATTGTCATTTGGACAACTAGAGCACAGAACACACTGCCAGAACTGCAACCAAACACCAAACTGGGTAATAAAGTAAACTTTTCATTTGTAAGGAGAACCAATTTGTTTCTGAAGTTAAGACATGCTAATTATTTCTTGGCTCAATTAGCAAAAGATTCATCAACACATACACATAAGAAGATACTATGCTTTGAGGTGTAACCTTCTCAAAACAATTCATGCAATGAGTTTCCCCCACCAAGAACAATGCTTCACATGAAATCCAAGTTATCCCGAACAAGCCAGATTATTCACGGACTATCACTGGTGAAACAAATAAAGCAGGTTTCAGAGAAAGGTCAAGTAAAATTTGGTCCAGATGACCACTGACTCAACTGATATACCTACTTTTTTCTTGAAAGAGAAGGAAAATTATTTCAGAACCATCTGACAGGTCCCACCTTGACCGTGAGGTTTCTTAATACAAGACTACAGAACACTTGTTTCCTTGTAAAATGTATGATCTCAAATTAAAAACCTAACCGCAGACTCTGGAAGCCCTTCTGGTATTATATTTAGCTGAATCCTCAAAACACATCTTTGATCCAAACGCAGTGTAAAACAAGTGCCTTCAGAAAGTTAAGATGCATCTTCAAATTTATTATCTGACATCCCTTTTCACTGCAGCAGGTATTCCGCATCCTCGCGCAGAATGCAGCCCCATCCCAGAGTCAGATGCGTTGCTTTCCTCCAGATGACTACCCTTTCTCATGAGGCTTTCCACTAAAAAGTCTACCGATTTACTGAATTCTATTGCAGTAGATGATGAGCAACTAGGAGATCTTAAAGACCAATATGCCATCTGCTGGGCAAGCAGTTCACAACACACAACTGAGCCCAAGGCTACTGGCCAAACAAAATCCTTGGGGAAAAAAGTCATCGTTCGCAAGCTTATACGAAACTGGTTTAGTGTCAAACAGCATTTCATGAAGTACTTACAGATTTAATAGCAGGAGGGATTCTTTTCCAAAGGTATCGCGCGTTATTCCTAAAAAAAATTAAGTTAAAAATACTTCTCAGTAACCAAATGTTTGCTACAAGGAGACACTAAAAGGTTTGTTCAGGTGCTATAATTAACACAGTCTCAGTGCTTTAAAGTATTCCTTCTATGTCTACTGAAGGAGAACAAGTTACTCTCAAGCAGACAATATGACTGCTATAATACAAAAAATAGTTCATTAAGTGCCTCTAACTCCAGTTTAAAAAAGGTTTTTCATGTATCTACCCTAGGCAGCGTTTCACCGAAGTTAGTTTTGCAGTTTTATTTTTGGAATAGCTGCATCTTTGACGAACACATGTACAAACAGCAACTTTTCATAGTGTTAGCAGTCATTTAGATCTGGGGTCTCCAAACTTGGATCACACACTTCTAGCAGAAACATTTTTGAGCATGCATCCCCAATATATGCATACATATTTACAAATTACATACATTTACTACTGTATTAATATATTACATATGCTATAAAGTATACAAACATAGAAGTTAAAAAAGATCAAATAAGCACTATTTTCATTTTATTTATAATTAGTACAAAAATACTTCTCTTCATGTGCCCACACCAAATATTGAGACTGTTTTGTGCGTGTTCTTCCAAACCCAGCTTTGACACATTCTGCAGATTTGGACATACTGAAATATTGAGTCATTGATCTTTAGAGCACAGAAGTCAAACTGAAACAGTTACAAACTCTCAGAAAGATTTAAAATGTAGAACAGAGAAAAAGACTCACTGCTTTTCATTACAGCACAATTCTAAAACTCCACAATTCTAAAACTTCAAATTCATTCAAACCAAGGTTATCTGCATTAAACCTAACACACTCAGTATCAGCATTCAGGGAATTTGCCCTGAAAGCATCTACATCTACAATGCAAGACAACACTCAAGCCTTCCAACCTCCCCCCCATTCCAATGCTCACTTTGGGTTGATGATCAAATACAGCTGTGTCATTTATTCTGCCTGAATAATTAATCAGCAATTTCTCAATACAACCCTAAATATGGCAACTCAGGTTCACACAGGGACATGGTAATAACCCACCAGACCAAATTCAAATCTGCATGAAGCAGTAATCCTTTAGCTTATTCAAGCCAACAGTATCCCTCATTTTTAACATGGGCACAGTTTAGAGTTATCCTCCTGTAATTTAAATACAAGGAGCAGCATGCAATCCTACTAAAAACAAATGCAGTCTTGAAAAGCTACAGATCAAAACACTGAAGTGTTGAACACTTTCCAAAGGAGCCAACTTCACTATTTAAGGACCTTTCTTCCTAAAGCCAATCTGTCTCCCTACAGTTCAAAAGGGTGGGCAAGAGTAAACAAAAGAGTAACTCTTGACAGAGCAAGGAGTGAAAGAGACTTAATTCCATGAATTTAAAAAAAAAACACAACACTGCCTACATGCATTTTGTTCATCACACAACCAATTACTAACATTCTGGTAACTGCAGTTCAAGCTAATAGTGACAAATTCAGTATCTGAAGTGAAAGACTAAGACAAGCCACTTACATGTCATTATGCAACAGATACAAAGCCAGAAGTTGGCCATAAACAAGGGGTGTTGCAATTCCTCCAGGAGCCTAAAAAACAGTACAAATATTTTGGTTACATTTTTTAAGAGTAATATCTTACAAAACACAGCAGAAAGCAGAGTTTAATGTTTCAACTGAACACTCCAAGATAATTAGCTTTGTTTTGTTTCTTCTACATAATAGCTCCAGAAAAACAGTCAGAGTTGCTATGCTATATCAATGTAGTTATATCTTGCAACAAAGAGTTAACTTGCCCATGCCAGAAGTTTTACTTAGAAAACTCAGTTTGTTTTGCTGCATGAACAAAGTAAGGTTGTATCTTTCATTACTCCAATGTTCTAGCTTATGCTCATGAACATGGCAACCATCTTGTTTTACAGTTCGTCACAAACAGGTGGTTTTAGGCACTCACGATTTCATTCATCTTGAGCTAAACTCCAGTTTAATTCAGGGCACTCCACTGGAGTAAAGCTTCTTTGCTCACCTGAGCTTCCCTTCTTAAAAATCCAAACTAAGCTTTGACACTTGCCACACTTCAGCAGAGCTCACAAATCATGCAAGTAGGAAAAAAATGAATTATAATGAAGTTGTAAAATTTTGAAAGTCTAATTATTTAAAAGTGGAAAAGATTTCCAATAAGGTTTTAGCAATTTATCAAAGGATAGTGCAGGAAGCACTCACAAGAAGCCAATTATTCAGTTATTCAACTTAATTACATGAGTGATTTATAGGCTCATCTAAGCCAAAAGCAGGTGATCAGGTGCGTCTCCAGCAGATCTCATTGTCCCCAGCAATTCTTAACCTGTTTCCAGGGCTCATCATCTACCTGAAAATACAACAGTTTCTGAAACTGTTCCTTGGATTATGCCCAGTAAAACAAAGCCAAGTCAATTAATACCACCTGTTTGAACTGTGTAAATTCACCTTTGGTATGGCTCTGTACAGAAAAAAATATTCATTAGTTTCTCTGCCAGCAGACTAGTGGAACAGAAGAGAAAGCTAATGACCACCAAAACAACTACATTTACAATCTACAGTCTTACTGAAGGAATCCCTGTGGTTGCATTATCCTGCAAAAAAAAAAATCACCTTACACATCAACTCCTGATCTGAAACAAAGGCTGTCAGCAGATACTAGTGTGCCCACAAGAATCTTGATGTGGAGGCAGACACACAGCAAATTAAGTTGTCAGTTTTATCAAAGCATTTGGGAACAGTTAGCCAGGGGTGCATCTGTTGCCATTTACTCTAGGAGACTGCTGACAGACACAGCGAGGAGGACACAATAAACTTCCTCAGATGGCTGCAGAAGCAAAGCCCAAAGCTTGCAGGGCTCCATCCCTGACACTCAGTACTCAGCCTGATACAACCCTCCCACCACTCCACAGAGGCCAAAAAGACAGCCAAAGCCATTTTAAGTCAGGTTCAAACAGATTGCCCAAAACGAGCATCAAGTACTGTTTTGAAGCTTGTTCATTTGAATGGGAACAGAAAGGCAAACTCCATTTACAGAAATACGATGTATAGGAACCAACGCTCCCTCACAGGGAGCCATTCAGTGACTGTTAACACATGCTGTGGTCAGAGGAATAACACCATCTTGTAACCCTAAGTATCTCTGTAGCCACACTTTCCTACCATTCCCCTTAGCAGCAAGCGCTGCACACACGTGCTCCTCTAAAGGATGGGAACACACCTTCAAAGCAAGTACTGATCAGCTCCCAGAGGGAAGGGGGAGCCACATTCAACTCTCCCACATGGTACACGGACACCCTTCTTTTCTACGCTCATGGGCCCATCACTTGAGGCAGCAGGTAGCTTATATGTTCAGCAGAACACCTCTCTCCAGCTCCATTACTCTTCCACAAAACTCAGACCATACCAAGAGACTGCAGCACCATGCTGAGAACATGAGAGGCACCTGGGCTCAGCACAGAAATAGTGCTGTTAAAGAAAATATTTTATGAAACTTTAAATTGATGAAGCTGCTAACAGGCAAAGGCTGCACAACTAGGCCTCAGTCTAGTTTGGTTCAAAACCCAGTCAAGCTAATCACTAAGAGAATAGAAAAGAAAATAGATGATTAACCTGTAAACACAGGTGTTCTTAGAAAATAGAATGGGTGATTAAGAACAGCTTGTTCATAGAATAGTGCCCTCAGGATTTATTTTCTTAGAATTGTGTAAGCTAAAGCAAGCGGAAAGAAGATAATGATCCAAAGAGGACTTCAAAACCGAGACAGGAGCTGGAACCAGACTAGAAGAAGAAATCAACTGAGCAGATGATGAATTCATAGAATTAGAAGGACCAAAGGGAACTTTTGAAGATTTTGGACACTGACTAATGATTGAGCACGTGTACATAAGCTGTACTGCATCTCTCTGTTCTCTGCCAATCACTGAGGTGTTGGCCTAACTCCGAGGTGTAATTAAAGCAAACCTAGTGGTACCCACATCTATGCGAGATTTTCCTTTAACGGATGGCACCCCAGATGGGACACTAGGTCACAAGAGGAAGGAGCCAGGAATCTCTTCTGGACATATCCGTTACCAACGCTCCATTGCCAGCAACAGGGTGAGTTCACCTTACGAGGCTTGGGCATGGGTAATTCCAGATACAGACCTGAAAGTACGCTTGTGCTTAAACTTGCACACTGGTGAGTAAATTAAGAAACTTAACGAGAATGGGAAATACACCCAGCATTGAAAGGGGAACCCCCCTTGCTGAGGTTTTAAAGAACTGGAAAAAGATACCTCTGGCACAGGCTTTACAGAAAAAGAAATTGTTAATATTGTGCCAGGAGGAATGGCCATTCCCAACTTGTACTAGAGGAGCAGGAGGACCTATGGATGTCTGGCCTCCCAAAGGAACCTTTAAGCCTCAAACAAAAATTCTTGAGAATAATTTTAGAATATTCTGGCAGCCGGGATATTGATTATTGGTATATTTTGTACAACTGGGCTCAACAAAGGCATAAATCATCCAAAACAGCAGTAAGCTCACTTCCCTCCACCCCACAGGCAGAGGAAACCGACCTTCCTACTACAGGAATGTATCATCCTAGGAGGCTGGAATACAGCCCTAATCCTAGAGCAGAACCGGGAGCTCCTCCAGAAGTTCCACCAGTCACTGCGGTAATGAGACATGAACCCTGGAAACGGGGAGACTTAGTTACTTGGCAGAATCAAATGCCAAGACTAAGAGTTGATACTGAAAAATGTGCACAAATGTTATCTGGAATCATTACAGATTATACTCCCAGTTGGAATGACAGGAAAACTTTGAGAATTGTTTCAGATGGAAGAAAGGGAAAGGATTTTCCAAAAGGACAGGGAAATTGCTCAAAGGGGGCAAGGATTTAATCCTTGGCCCAAACAAGATCCAAATTGGAATTTAACTACGATAAAAGGAATACAAGCTTACCAGACTGCCGTACGACAATTAATAGAAGCAATACAGTGCGGAGAAGGAACTACCAATTGGACAAAGGTTTTAGAATGTAGACAGAAACGTGACGAACATCCTAGTGACTATTGGACAAGATTAAAAACAACTTTATTAAAATATGGAGAAATGACTAGCAAAAACTTTCAAGAACCCCTAGCTATTTGTGTGTTGGTAGAACAATCAGCACCTGATCCAAGTATTTTAAAAAGCATATGCCAGGATGGCAGGGAGAAACTTTAACTAAAATTCTCAGTATAGCTACTTTTGTTTATGACACAAGAGATGAGGAGAAACAGAAACAAGAGGAAGAAAAACAGAAATTAGAGAAAAAGAAAGAGCACAAGGAAAAAGAAAGAGCAATTAGTCTGTTGGCAGCAGCCATAACTCAAAATTATAATCCACGAGGCAGAGGAAGGGGTCCAGGGTTCCCCCGTGGTAACCCCAGAGGAAGGGGTCCACAAGGAGGACCACCAATACCCTTCTACCAGCCTCAATCAAACCTTAATATTTTAGGATGTTTTTATTGTGGGAATTTAGGTCATATACAACAGGAATGTCCACTTCATCAGGCAATCTCGCGACAAGGATCGACACCTCCACATCCACCGTGACCTCATTCACAATAAAGCAGGAAACAGGATTTCTCAGGGCACTGTTGAGATGAGTCCAGAGACAGTAGAGGTAAATGAGTACGGACAAATTACTGCAAAGGTAAATGGAATTCTTGTTAATTTCTTAGTAGATACTGGAGCAACATTATCACTGTTAAATTATGAAATACCTCAATTGTCAGAAGAAAGAGTTATTATCAAATGGGTAGTAGGCAAAGAGGTAAAATACCTTTCTACATCCCTTCCAGTTATGTTAGCGGGAGAACTGCATGGGGAAGATTTGTAATCTCTAATTCCCCCATATCATTATTGGGGAGAGACCTCTTGCAGGACTTTGGTACTCATATCTCTAGCACCTGATGGGATTCACCTAATCCTAATGGGTTCTGAGATCGTACACGTTTTAAAAAAAATGAAAAACCTTACTTGCAAATACCACAGGGATTAGAGGCAGTTCCCCAAGAATTGTGGAGTACTCCTAGTGAGGATGTTGGATTATTACTATCAGCAGAACCAGTGGTAATAAAAACAAAAGGAGGGACTCCTCCCTCTATTAAGCAATCTCCTATTATTACTGAAGCTATACAGAGCATTCAAAAACAAATTGAATTTTTCCTGAAAAGAGGAATTCTTAGGGAATGCCAAAGTCCTTATAACACTCCCATTTTACCTGTGAGTAAGCACAGAATAGATACAGATGGGGATCCAGAGTACAGATTTGTCCAAGATCTCCGTACTATGAATGAGCATGTTATTTCACCTCACCTGGTAGTTCTGGATCCCAATCTGATACTCAAATACCACCATGGGCAAATTACTATACTGTCTTGGATTTAACCGGAGCATTTTTTAACATTCCTGTAGCAGAAGAGAGTCAATTGACTTTTGCCTTCACATGGCAAGGGAAGCAATTAACCTGGAGTCGACTACTCCAAGGGTTTACTAGCTCACCTATAATTTTTTCTCCAACTTTATCTAATGATCTT